AAGAATGGGGCGATAGTGTCCCGGTTCCAGGTTGGACTTGTCTGAAAAGGCAAATGTTTGCTTGTAGCATGACTGGGGGTAGTGCCTCACCCTCTAGCAAGAAGTTAAATAGGTCGCATAGGTGCGGGATCAGTGTGGGGGCGAATGTTTTATAATACAATCCCGAGAACCCGTCTTGTCCTGGGCATTTATTTGGTTTCAGGGTTTTAAAGGTATTTGCTGTTTCCTCCAGGGTGATTATTGAGGTCTATCTGCGCCCTCGGGGGTGATAGAGGGCAAGGTGATTTGATTCTTGGTGCTGGCTAGGTTGAGCTGGGTGTGTGGGCTGTGGTCGTAGATGGAGGTGAAGTAGTCTTGGAAAATGGTGGCTATCTGGTCTGGGAGGTCGCAGTGGATCTTGTCTATCTGTTTTCGATCTGTCCTGCTGTGGCGAAACCAACCTCGCCACTGTACACTGGAGAAGCCTGGTTGCTCGCCTGCTGCATTTGGACTATGGCCCCATGTTAAAAGACGTCTTTTTTTTCCCTGCAGAAAAGACTTATTCATGCTTTTCTGCCGGGTGTTCGATAGATTCAATCTACTGAACAACCGCACGAATGAATAGACCACCTGGGAGCTGGAGTGTGCCGGCAATTAACCACCCTGAAGCTGCGGTTAACCGCAGCTTAATTGATGAATGCTGGGTGGCCACCATTCGTATCACGAACACGAGGTCGCGGCCATTTTAAACATGCGAATGCACAGCGGTGTTCGACGCTTAATTCATGGAACTGAAATCGGACACAGTTTTGCGCGAACACCGCTGAAGCCGCCGACCTCCCTTCTTGTTCGGTGAAAGTGCACGAACGGCCTGGTGTTCGGTAGTTTTGTTTGAGTGTGTTGTGCCCCAGATAGGAATCCCATTCGCATGAAACTGACTGTGTAAAGACTTTGGCTCCATGGCGATTAAACTGTATTCGTGTGGTCTGAGCGCCATTCGCTTAATAATGTGCGCTCAGACCTGAGCTATCTGGGGATATGTAGAACGTATATGTTTTATGTACTGAATGTAACTGTAGGTAATTTTATGTCGTTGTGTTTGTTTTCTGCCATGTGGTTAATGGAGTTTTGCCACGGTCTTTGGAGATAATTGAATTACTTCTCAATTATCTCCAGAGCAGAGAGGAGGGATTGTGATGCATTGTGGGATGGTTGAAATGTGTAAGCCTGTGATTGGTCCTTTTACCCTTTGTGTCCCAGTCTCCCATCTGGTCCCATAGGGGAGTGTCCACCAGGTGGGAGACCTGCATAAAAGCCGGGCAGTTAGCCCCAGTAAATCAGTTCCTGCTTAACCCTCAAAGTGAAGTGTCGTCTCATTATTGGGGGAGGATTTACTGTATGCTGTTAGAGACTGATTGCCAGGAGTGTAAGCCGCTTGGGGGCTTTTCCTGTTCGTCGGCTAGCAGCTATTCGTGTGTCTCCAGTTCGGGAGTTTCGAGTTTTCCCTTGGTTGCAGTTTGGGAGTTGGTGAATTCGTGGGTTTGTAGTTCAGGAGATTGGTGCTTGCAGTAGCTGTCGGTGCAGCTGGAAAAGGGGAATATCGCCTAAACGGTTTTTAACCTCTTTTGGGCAAAACGGTCCGTTACACCTGCATTTGAGCTTGCGGGCTAAGAGGGAGTCTGCTTTATTGGATTTCTTGTAGTATAGCTGTCTGGTCCATTGCAGAGCTTTCGTGGAGTCCCTTGCCATGAAGATTTTTATCATGTTTTGGCATAGAGAAATTTTGGTGGTCAGTTCAGGGGTACGGTTAGTCTTGTGTTTGATCTCCAGGGTTCGCAATTCCGTGAGGGTGTGTTCGAGGTGCGCTAGATGTTGTTTTTTTCGTGGGATGCTATGCTGATTATCAAGCCTGTCAGGACCATTTTATGTGCCGCCCATAGGATGCTTTTGGATGTGACCGAATCTTTGTTCAGGGTAAAGTATTCGGAGATGGCTTGTGAAATGGACTCGCGTAGGGTTGGGTAGTATGATAGGGTTGAGGCGCCAGGACCATTGTCTGTGTGAGTGTGTTAGGTTGAGTTGTAGCGTGATGTTGGCATGTACAGACTATGTGATGAAGCCTATGGAGGTGGTAGTGAGAGACCGGGCAAGGGCAAGGGATATTAAGAAAAGGACTATTCGAGAGTGTGACTGATGGGGGTGGGAGAAAAAGGTGTAGTCCTGGGCGCTTCCGTTTTGTATCCTCCATACATCCAGTAGACGTCTATGGGAAAGGAAGTTCTGAAAGAGTTTGTCTGATTTAGCTGTAAGTGGTGCAAGGAGAAGAGAGCGAGATGGGCTTGTAGGGTCTGCCAGAATGATGGGGAGGGTGTGTTTGGTGTGTATACCGAGGTAATAGAGTATTTCTGGGGGCCTATGTGGCCTGCGATCAAGATGAAGCGGCCTTGAGGGTCCGATAGTGTGCAATCTATGGTTAGGGGCAGGATTTACGGATCAGGATCGCGACCCCGTTTTGTTTCTCCGTGGGGGAGTTAGCTAGTATTATTTATTAAAATGTCGGCTTAGGAGAGGGAATGGTCTGGTTTGGGTGAAGTGGGTCTCTTGGAACAGGAGTATTTGGGCTTTAGTTCTATTTGCCCATCTCATGAGTTGATGTCATTTTGAGGGATTGTTTAAAACTTTGCAGTTTATCAATGTGCAGGACAGAGTGGATGACATATTGAAGTTTAGTTCTCCTCTGGGGGACCTAGCTTTTCCAGGGGGGTGTGAGTGGGAGAGCCCCCAAGGTTGGCTTTGCAACTGAGGATGTTACAGGTAGGGGGAGGGGGGAAGGGGAGTGTGTTGTAGGGTGTTAAGTGTGTGGATCGTCTGGTCTTACACCTATGTGGCGGAGTTGGGGCTAAGTGTGTCCGAGTTACCGGGTGTTTGTGTCCCGGGTCTGGTTCGATGGGGTTGTGTAATTGTAAGTTTAGTCAAGTAGGAGGGGGGAGGTGTGGTAGTATTTACAGGTGGGTAGGTGGTGGTCCCATCCCTCACCCCTGAGCCTGCGTTCAGCTTGTTCATGTGGAATCGGTTCGGCTGTTAATGTGTTCATCGGTGTCTTGCGGTTTTGTATAATTTCCGGGTTTCCCCCGGTCGTCATGTCATGGGCCTGTATGGTCTGTCTGCCCCCAATTACTGCCTGTGTACAATGGTGTGTCAGGGCTAGAGACGTCTCCCTGGGCCGGCCTGCGTGTGTGCTGTTGGAGGCATGGTGGTGTCCAATTCCAGGGGGTGAACACCCTCTCGTGTCTCTAGTCGGGGTGTACCAGTAGTCGGGATTGTCTTCTGGGCTGGTGTGTGGGGCCCCCTTATGTGGGTAGTATATTGGGCTTCGAGAGGTGTGTCCCAGGAGTAGGGAGGGATAGGTCTGGGGAGTTGGGGTATGTTGGCCACATTTTCGGCTGGTCAGGGCGGTGGAGGTATACAGTAAACATATAACTTCATAACAATAAGAGAAATACATGTGTACAGATTAACATCTATAAACTCCGACATCGTGGGGTCAGTAGTGTACCATAACCAGGGTTATTTGAGCATTTTTAACCCTTTGCTCCTGTACCCGGGTTGATCTGCCAATCTTGAGTTTTATAACCTGAACCACAGCTTGCCATTTGTTATACCCAAGCAGTGGTGATCCCCTGGTGTGTCCAAGTTCCCTTGGGGTACCTTGCACCCGCGCCAACCAGGCCCGGGGGGGTCGGGTTCTCCAGGTGGTGCGTAGGGAGGAGAGACTCCTCGGTTGGGGAGCACCGGTTCGTCTGCTGCGAGGGAGCTCCCGGGATTCCACTCGAGGAGTGTCAGGCAATCGAAGGGGCCCCATCTCGGGTCCCACCGGTCTGCAGTAGGGGTGGTTGGATTTGTGGGGTATTCCGAGGGTTTCTCACCCTGGTTGCACTGCTATACTAGGCTGCGCCTTGGCGGTTGTGTGTGATTCCCCTGCGGGCCTAAAGCCTCCCTTAAGGGTAGTGCGCTGTGGTGTACATTGGCGGTGGGCAAGAGTATCATCCGGTTATACAAATATGCCCTTGTTGACTATAATTACTGAGAGTATGGTGTCTGGCTGTGCCCTTCTAACGGGCTTGGTTCCCTGCTTAATGGTTGTCCATAGGCAGTTGTGTGTGGTCCCCACTAGGGCTTAATACCCCACTTAGGGGTTGTGCGGTATGGTTCATTTTAGTGGAGGGGCAAGAGTTATACCCGGTTAAACATACACTTATTGGCAATAATTACTACAGATGTTGTGGCCTTCTAACGGGCCTGGTTCCCCGCTTAATGGCTATGCATAGGGAGCTTTTTACAGGCAAAGTAACAAGAGTTATAAACAGATAAAACTAATATACAACTGTTATCTTTAACTGATATACGTGTAAAACGTTAAGTATAAAACCTGGTCCTCACAGCTGGGACTTTCTGTCAAGCAGGTAGTTAGTGTCCTTGGCCCTTGTGGGCTCTTTCATGTGGTGCTTTGGTGGGGCCCTCTTGGGGTAGACGTGGGCTGTTTTCTGGCTTGGTGGAGCTGTTGAGGTGGGCCCCTGGATCCCCGGACGTAGCCTTGTGGTGGGTGCGTGGCTTCTGGCGGAGGATCGTGGTTCAATGCCACCTCGATGTGGTTGGCAAAGTCCTGCATATCAGAGCACATAGGTTTGGTTGTCCCGTTTCACTACTAGCTTGAAGTGGTGTCCCCACATGTACTTCAGCCCTTGGTGTGACAGCGCCATCGTGAGGGGCTTAAGTTCTCTCCTCTTGTGTAATGTGGATAGGGCCAGGTCTTCGAAAAAGTGTATAGGGCTGTCCCGGAATGATGGTGGGTGATCTCTGGCTATTACCACCAGTCTCTCCTTGATTGGGAAGAGTAGCAGCTCCACTATGACGTCCTTTGGATTGGGTGAATTCGTACTGGGGGGCGCAGGGCTCTGTGGGCCCTTTCAATGGTGAGCTCATGTTCTGAGGGGTCAGGTAGTAGGGCCCTGAAGATCTACCTGACACTTGGTAGTACAGCATCTGGGGTCACAGATTCGGGGAGGCCTCGGATCCTGATGTTGTTTCTGTGGGATCTGTTGTTCAGGTCCTCGAGGCCATCTTCAAGTTGGAGTAGCCTGTCCTGCATGTTACCCATTTCCCTCCGATGGGCCTCTGATTTTTGGGTGAGGCCTGCAATTTGGGTCTCTGCCCTGTTGGTGCGGGAGGTGAGGGCCTCAATGTTACCCTTGAGCCCTGTTATCTGTTTCTCAAGCTCCGCGGCCCTGTGTGCTTTTATGTCCGTGGAGGTTTCTTGGAGCAGTCTTTTTAGGTCGCCCATGGTGAGGGGTGCTGTGGCGTCCCTTGTTGTGTCCTCTTCCTCACTATCAGAGCCTGTTTCAGGTGGGTCTTGTAAGGGAGGCAGTCAGCCATTTTCCTGGGCCTGGAGTATCGTGGCTACCGAGGGTGGCATTTCTTTGCGTTTTTTGGTGCCCCCCCATGATCAAGACAAGTCTTGTCAACTTTGTTGTGCTGATATCTGTGGTTTTGGGTTGTGGATGGCTCATAGTAATTGCATATGGTAGCGGATTATGTGCTCAGGGGAGAGGGAGCTCAGGACTCACATGTCCGTTTCCATCGGTGGTTCAGCTCCGCCCCCCATATCTTTGACAATTTTAACACCCAAATAGTGAAAACATTTTTTTTTCCCCCAAGAAAAGTGATATTGAGAGTCAATCTCCTCAATGTGGAGTTTATCCACATTTATGACAATCATAATAGATTTAGACATATTTAATTTAAAATTTGAAACTTGGCTGACCTGGTTGATTTCCTTTATAAGAGCTTCCAGGGAATTTAAAGGTTCTATCATAGTCACAAGAATATCATCAGCATATAAGTTAATTTTATGGGTCGATCTATTTTGTTGATACCTTTTAGGAATAGTTTTGATGGGATATGAGGAAAGAAAAGGAGGGTGATTGGGGAAGGTGGTGAGGACGTGGTGTTGTATACCTGTAAGATATAATTTGATAGTGTTATATGCTAATTTGAGGTGTAAGTGACAAAAAGAGGCAAAGGCCACCATGGTCTCAATAGAGTAATTATATAGAATGTGATTTTTCCCCACCAAATTTGTGGAAAATAATCAAAGCCCTATCGTATGCCTTCTTAGTGTTGGCTGAGAAAGCGTTGCGTGAGAGAGACCGTGCATGAGTCAATAATTCCAGTAGTCCATGATTAGCTCCGAAAATGTCAGGGTTCTGGATGGGAGTTCGTTGGCAAAAGGATGCACCTTGTGAAATGCCTGAAAAATTAGACCGGGACAAAGCGTCAGCTGCACTATTATGAATGCCTGGAATGTGTTCGCACATCAAGCCATGTCAACTTTTAAACCAATCTCATGATGGTCAAAGAGGAAGATCGCCCTTTAGTGATGATCTTGCAAGCCACCAAATTATGTGAGAAACACATAACTGCCTTACCGGCCCACAGATGACCTCATGCTTGTAAGCTGCTACGATGGAATGAATCTCAAAAAGGGCTGAAGTTTCCCTGAAGGTCGGCAAGGTAAGTGTTTCTTGAGGCCAAACATTCCTAAAACAGTGGTTACCAAAGATTGCAGCGAACCCAGTGTGGACTGCCACATTAGTCCAAATTATGGGGGAGTGGTCGGATAGTGTGAGAATGAAAATGGAGATGCCGTTCCACTTTTCAAAGAAGTGCATCCACATACACAAATTGGTTATGGCTCAGGGATTGAGGACCTGGAGATAAAAGATCTCCCCTTTGGAATGATACGCATCGCATTGATGTATCCCAGTAAAGACTGAAGATCCCTCTGTGTACCAGAAACTTTTTGGAGGAATTGGTCCATTTCTTGTCTGAAGCATACTAATTTCACATCGGGGAGGCGTGCCTGCATTGACACAGAGTCTAGTGAGATACCCATACACCAATTGCATTGTGGGGCCAAATGTTTTGTCAGGTGACAAAGGGACACCTAGTTTTTAAAACAGTGCTGTGGCGCTAAAGATGCTACGTGGTGTGAGTGAACCTGCCTTGACCAATAAGAAATTTTCTAAATAGTGTATCACCTTGGGACATTTGACCACATTCAGGAGCAGCCAGCAAAGTGTCTCTGCAAAGATGTCAAACAGTTCTGGGCTTCTCCTGGAGCGTAAGGTGAATCTGGTGGTGAAGTAATAATTATCCTTCCATTTGACGCCATTGATATGCCAGAGTGACGGATTGAATAGGTAGTAATTTGAAAGCATTCATAATATCTGTTTTACTGAGTCTGGCTTGTCCTCCGGCCAGTAGAATTGCTTCTAAGGCATGTTCCAGGTTGGCGTAATGGAGAAAAAAATTATTCGGCAGGTATCAGTAAATTTAAACTAGGGTTGTGAGAAGAATGATGCGCGGACAAATCGATGGTCAAACGTTTTTTATTAGAGGTGCTGTTGTTAACCCCAATAGGGTTTGTTCACCAAGGACCAATCATAAAACCTGACGTGTTCTCTTTCCGTAGCAATTCGTCAACTTCAGATGGGTCGTTTGTAGCCAAGTGTAAATTAGGGAATTCTAGTGTGTCAGTAAGGAGTGCTACTAACCCTGTGTGAAACCCATTGGAAAATCAATCAAATATTGCACCAGGTAGCGGGAGGGGTGGGTGTGCAAGTGAAAGGCAAATGTGTCGATGTTGATTTCCGTCAGTAATTTATTGGGGGAAAGCCTAGAGGGGCACATGGATTTTGTACGTGCCCTGAAGCAGATGAAGTAAATGTGCAATAACCTGCAAGCACTGTAATTACAGGTCCCAGCGTTAAAGTTGTTGCACACTCGCGCCTTGCCCAGGAATAAGACTGGTCTGTCTAGCTTATCTCTTTGGCCCCTATCCTGACGGATGGAGGTGGAATGTGGAGGGTTCTGCTTCACATGAACACAATTTGGAGGAGTGTGAGGTAGAGGAACAAATCACACAAGATGGTGGTCTTGTTGTAGAATTATTAGGCCTCTATAAATCTGTAAGGCCCCTTTAAATCCTCTTGCTATACCTCTAAGAGGCCCCATAGTTTTACAAGAAAGCTTTGTCTATAGAATATAGAATTTGCATGTCAGCAAGAAATATTATGCACCTGTAGTGTGAAACACTGTAGCATCCCACTTACAATGATAGCTTTGATAAAATGTGTATTTACTAAAAGCCTTGAAACCTAACCTTGAGAAACTAACAGTGCCAGGCTACACTCTAAATGGATAGCTGCCAAAAGGCCCCTCCCGTCGAGTGAGCTCCTCATGTTAACAAAATGGCGCTAAAACCTGGAGGAGACAATCATGACGAGGATAGTGACCTAAGATGGTACACCCCGTAGGGAGGGCATTTTACTAACTACTTAGCACCTAAGCCAATTAACAATGTCTATTTGTCTATATCTTGATTTTCTTCAATGATGTAATAATGCCTTTAAAAGGGCCTGCGAGCCTGCTTTTTAAACAGAAGCCATTAAACTTCTCCGAAGTTCTTTCATTAACCTGAACTCTGTGTCTCAGTGTGAATTTACTTCTGCGTGCACGCAACTTTATTATCTTTAATTTGGACAGGAACAGATAGTCATTCAAACTAATTGGTTTGCATAAAATAATCTACTACAATTTGGCGCCTTAAACGTGGGGCTCTGGGTTATGTCCTGCCTGGGCAGCTGTCCAAGAAGATGCTGGGGGGATGAATCCTGGGGGAAGGAAAAGAGCCTGATCACCTCTGAATACACGGTAGAGATTGCTGCAGCACCTAGCTGGTATGTTCCTGCCCCTGTGATTGACCTGTCCCAGTGTCTGTGACTGCTGCCGAGAGGACATCAAAGTCAGGTAATAACTTGCCCAGACTCCTTGTATTGTTAATGATACCTAGTTTACCTGCATGTTGACTATCTGTTGCCTGGGTGTGTTTGTATTGGTTTGTGTTTAACTTAGTACCCGGGGAGTGTGAGTGCCTGTTTACTCCTTTTAGGTACCACGTGGCTGTGGTAGTAAGGAAAAAGGGGGGTGGACCTGTGGAAGTTTTCCTGGGGGTCCTCTATTGCCTGTTTAACTCTTTTAGGAGCCACGTAGCTGTGGCTGTAAGGAAAAAGAGTAGGGGGAATCTGTGGAGGGTGGTGTAGACTCACTGCTTCCTGGGGGTTCCCCATAGTGTCGCTTTGACTGCTTAGCTAGCCTCATCGGACACTTCTTCTTGGTAAAATTCCAGCCTCGAGCGCTGAGGCAGGTAAGATTCCAATTCTTTAGGCTATACAGGATTCGGGTTGGAAGCTGTTGCTGTTTCCTGTGGCTGCTGGTAGTGAGACTTGCGGGTCATCCGCAACAGGGACACTACGAGGTTGAGGGAGGTGGCTTCGGCCACACGAGTAAAGGCAAGGGATAAAACTGTTGAACTTATTTGAACTGTGATGCATGCACTGTATTTACACTGAAATGTTATTGTCTTAATTGTCTGTCACACAGATTCCTGTGTTTACTTTTATCTTACTCACTGTACTATTTACACTTTCCCCTCCTATTTTTCTTTCTCTGTTGAGAGAAGTGATTGGTCACACACTTCTCGCCACGCTCCAATCCGCGGCTACCTCGGGTAGGAGGAATTAGTGACTAGTCTACGTTTTGGGAAGACGTACGTAGGAACCCACTCTTACGTAGCAGTCGAGCACTGTAGACCTTCTTTTCTCTCTTTCTCTATATCTGGGACACCTTATATAGGGAGGATGGGACAGAAGTTAGATAAACCCAGTAAGGGTTGGTTAGCATGTGATCTAGTGGAAGACAGAGAAGGAGAAGAGATGGTTAAGAAAGTGAGGAAGATTGCTAAAGTATGTGGAATTACTGTACCTCCGTGCGGCAGATTGCAGCCAGAGAGCTGGCGTAAGTTACTGACAGAGAAGAAAGGGAAGCTGTCGGACCACGATTTGGTTCGTACAGCAGAAGCCTGGTACCGAGTAGTAAGAGCTATTCAGCAAAAGGGATAGGTTGAGGAAGAAATTGATAACAAAGGTTTAAGATTGTTTGTGTATTATAATAATTGTGTTACTGGGAAGTCCTCCCAGCCAGCGCCCTATGATGGCGCCCAGGAGGTGACCACTCCCAACATCGCGTCAGCAATGACCGAAATGTAGCTGACCATGGTCCCCACCCCTGGTCCCCACCCTACCACTGCCCCTGTTTGCCCAGTCCTGAATGCTGATGGATCCCTATTCTCCCCCCCATCAGTCCTACAGATCTCGTCACCCTCATCCTCTCTCTGCAGCTCCCTGCACCTCCAGTCCGTTTCTCCCGTCAAAGATTTCTGGT